CCATTCGTTGTGTGATCGCCAAGAAACAGTCTAGATCAGACCGCTCCACAAACAAGATGCTTTGTCTCCCATGAGCTGCAGCCCACAAGAGCGGATGCCAAATAAAATCTGCTAGGTCAGAATGCTGCCAGCAAAAACGCTGCATGTCAGAGTAAATGACCAACACGGAGTGTCTGTGGTGTCACTGGATGTGTGAGAGGCACCCCATGAAAGAGGGGAACCATACACACCATTCCTCTTGGGTCCCTCTCTTTTTTGCAACCGCACCGGGGCCTCTGTCTTCAAGGTGCTGCAAGATTGTTTGTTTGTTTGTTTGTTTCTGCAGAATAAAATGAGACTTATTTCTGAATAAACTTGCAAATGGCTGCAAATTCAAGCATAGCTGGCCACTGCGTATTTCATGGAGAAATGGCTCTCTTTGTCCTAAATTGGTTCACACAAGATAGTAAGAGAAGGTTGACAGTTTATCTTCAGAGTACTGTATGTACCTTGTTTTCCATTTACAAAGGATAAGGCAGGGATATTCTTTGCGTGATGATCCCAAGTAGATACACAAGTAGATCCTATGGTGTAAACAGCCCCCAAGGCATTTTGCAGATCTTTCTAAGAGCCTCTTTCCTATCCTTACATTTCTCCAGCTGTTTCTCTTTGCCTACAAACCTCTCTCCAGGCAGAAAGGTTGCCGCCCGCTCTACTAAGCCCTCCCGGTGTCTGGCCATGACGTCCCTCCTGGTGCCATGCCTCTTTCCCACCAGCTGATGGGGCTCGCAAGCCATGGCAGGGCCGGGCCAAGAGGGGACGAGAGCCAGAGGGGTTGTTTCTGTGCCGGTAGAGGTGGCCCTTGTGCTCCTCGGCATTTCCTGCCTTCCAGATAACCCTAACAAAAGGCACGCCGTCCCCCAGGGAGCAAACGTGCTAGGAATGTTTTTATGCCCAGGTTGTTCCCTCTAGAGGCCCGTCGGGTAGCCGTGGTACATTTGGAACGCCACCCCTCCCCTGCCGTCCCAAATTCCCTGCGGCCTGTTTCTGGAAGAACCCAAACATGACCCGTTGTCAGAGAAGTGGAGGGGTTTGTCAGCCACCTCCCTGTCTTGGAGGGAGGTCAAGACCAGGCACCTCTAGGCGAGGTCAAGGTCACGGTGAGGGAGCAGCTTTTGTCCCCCCCCTTTTATTTTTCTTTCCCCAAAGCAACTCTCCTTCCACCTCCTATGGGAGAGACCGACTCGCCCTCTTTCCTGTCCTTGCCAGCTATCTCTGCGGGGAAAGCTCTCGCCTTGTAACCCAAGAAGGGAAGGGGCTCTGGAGGGCTTGACCCCGAAGTCTCCTGCTGGCTGCAGGCGACCCCGTCAGCAACATGGTGGTGGGGCTTTTTCTGCAGATGCTGCAGAAGAGCAGACAGACTTGAGTGCATAGGGAATATAGCAGTTGGTGTGTGTTCAAATGTGTCTTTGTGTTGTGTGTTCAGGAATGAGAGTACATGTGAATGCTGGAAACTGAGCTCTAAAACCTAGAAGGTGGCATTGCACTCGAGGAAGCCTTCTGCCAGACTGCCATACACTCCCGGACTTATTCAGGGATGGTCTTCAAGACTGGCATCCCAGGAGCTTGACTCGGGCTCATCGGCAAATTAACCTGAATACACAAGGACCAGTGTGATCTCGGGAAGCTGGGAAAAGGACAAGCTAAGAGCCCAGAAGTCAGGCTGGGCCTGATCCAAATGAAGCCACCTAACAATCCAGGCTGGGCCTGCTCCAAATGAAGCCACCTAACAATCCCTTGGCGGTACCCAGTGTGGTGCAATGGACAGAATGAAGGACTAAGGCTCCAGAGATCTGTGTTTGAATCCCCGCTCAGCCATGGGAATCTACTGGGAGGGTGGAACTGGTGAAGCCCCTTCTTAAAATGCCTCACTTACCCTGAAAGCCCTATTAGGGGCACTACAAGTCTGCCCCAACTTGATGACACATAACAACCACAACAACAACCCCTTGGGACGACATCAACTCCTGTTTTCCTGCACTGGTTGTTTCCTGGGAAAACATACTTTGATATTTTCTTTTGTGGGGGGAATGTAAAAAAGAATTTTCGTGTTGTGATAATGGTGATCTTGCCTTAAAATATACACACACACACCCTTCTCCTTTCAGGAGCCATTTAGCTCCTCCTCAGATGAACACTACGACACAATCGAGGCTAAAGTAGGTGATATAGTCAATGCATTATTCGAAGCTGAACTCTCTTCAGAGGGGAAAAGGACCGTATGTTTATTTCAGCACAGGTTTGCCTCCTTCCACCAATTTGCTTCTCTTTTGTATTCAGTTTTTGGGAGGATAAGCACAGCACCCTGTGCATGGCTACGCTCACAGGCAGTAGCTCTGAAACAGTTGCGTGTCTGAAGGTAAAAGGTTAGAAAAAGAAGAAGTACTTGTTTCCCTTAAGGTGTGTGATCTGACCCCTCAGACCTCCAAGCTTTGCCCCACTGTTGGGAACAGGCAGAACAAAAGATGATGGCGCCTGCCATGTGCCCTAGAGGGATACATATCACAAACGAAGAGAGCATGGGAGCAACACGTTCGTCCTGTTTCCTGAAGAAGATGATTCAGCAGCAGGATGATTGGTTGGCTCCTGGTCCCAATCCTTTTTTTAAAAAAAGAAGGTATGTAAAGAAAGACTGGCTGTGCCAGGCAGCTTGAGGTTTGAGTTTTGCGTCTTTATGGTAAGGAAACATTTTGCATTTTTAAAGTCTGTCAGTAGAGATATTTAAGGGGATTTTAGAAGGCAGGGATTCCTCCCCCGGCCCCTCTTTCAAAGCTATGCTGCCAACATGCCTCACGCAGAATGCCAAGGAAACATGGGTGGCACCGCTTGGATGTATCCCTATTCATTAGAGCTGATTTCTCCCTCCCTTCAACAGGAACCTAAATTAAAAAGAAGTGGCAAAGCCAGATCCACGAGGGACTAAACAGCCTTCTCCATTTCTCTCTTTGTCTCTTGCTTGCAAACCTGGAAAGAAGCGGATGCAAAGCCTCTCTTGCTTTCTCTCCGGAGGTGCGGCTGAGCTCCAAAAACAACTTTTCTTCCATTCAGATCCTGAGGGGATGACCTACTTTCCCGGTTCATATTCAAAGCTGGAACCCTAAAATAAACACCCCCGTACTGTACAACAGGTGCCGTACAGATCGAAATCTTTGTTCCTGCTGGGGTGGGTGGGGCTCTGTTTTGCTAAGCCCGAGCTGCTGCTGCTGCTGCTGCTGCTACGGCGGCCTCTCTGGTGGCGGCAGGGCCATGACTCACGGCCTCGCCTCTTTGCTGCTGCGGAGGCGTGTGGCCAACAGGGTGTGGGAAGCCCAAGGAGATTCTGGCAGGGAGGAACGGCACACTCGCGCACGCATGTGCACGCCCAGTAGAATCAGATCAGGGGATGTCACTTTTGCATCTGAATTTTGAATGCCTTAGCATTTAAGGAGACCGAAGCACGGCCCTCTACACAAATCGGGGCGAGAAGAAAGAGACCGGAGGGGTAGGGGGGCTGGGCCTCTGGACTACCTAGGACCGAGGCCCGGGTGCCCACATGTTTTTGTAACTGGGCCTCGGGCAGCCTGAGAGTCCTCCTCTTGCCAAGGAGGAACCCTGGAAGGGAAAAGAAATGTTTCATGTCTTGGAGGAAACGGAAGAACAAGCTCAGGGAAAAAACTCGTGGGTGGGCTTGTCTGTTGGGTTTTTTATTTCTTTTCCTCCCTTTCTTCCGTGCAGCAATGTTTGCATCTCAAGAGGCCTTGCATCCAGGGAAGGAGATAATAGGGCGGCAGCAGTGATTTGGGCACCCCTGCCCTGGATGGTTCGTCTGTTTCTGGGCAACGTTTTGTGGGTTGCTCCCCTTCCTTCATTCACATGGAACAAGCGCAGCCCATCCTTCCATCTAAAAGGCCTCCAACACGATGGGTAAGAATAAAACAAGAGATAAAAATGACGAAGAGCGCAGGGAAAACAAAAACAGGCACAGGAGCCGTTCTCAGCAAAGACGAGGTCCTCGCTGTGTTTTCCACGGCGCTTGAGCAGGAAGCCTTGGGCAGCGCCTTCCCCGATGTGGGTTCAACTCCTCCTCTTCCAGGCCATTAATTTCTCGTCCCGCTCTGGGGCCAATTTGCACCTGGCCCACCGGGGAGGGCACATGGAAAGTGACAGGCAGGGCTCTGCTCCCTCCATCTCGCCACGAAAGCTGCAGGAGGGTGATGAAGGCTGGCACTAGCTTGTAGGGCCTCTGTGGGGCTGGGGTAGGGGTGGGAAGCCTTGGCAAGCGCCGGCCTTGGAGGGCAGATCACAACGAGGGAGATCTCCCTGTCTAGGACTTCATGCTCTGCTTCTCTGGAGATGAGCTGCAGCTCAGGGATAAAGGAAGTGTCTGGCAGGCAGAAGGTCTTTCTCTCACACACATTCAATCCCAAATGTTTCTGGTTAGAAAACACAGGAGGGGGCACAGATCCCTGAGAGACGCTGAGAGAGGAGGTGGTACCAGGCAAGAGGGATGGGAGAGAAGGCCGCTTTCTAGATTCCCATTGCTCATCAATGGAAGAGAGCTCCGAGGGAGCCAGGTGAGTGAGGGAACTTCCCCACCACGTTCTGTCCCTCAGCCCTGCTCGCTGCACCTCGGCCAGCTTGAAACCCTGCAGGGGCAGAGTGTGGCCTCAGAAGGTGCTGGGCAGACACATAGCAGTGGACGTGGTCTTTACAGTATTGAAATTTGGAAGCATCTTCTCTAAAGGCTTCAGGTTAATACAAATCACAATGACAAACGTCTGATGAAACATTTACCAAAAAAATGGAGATGAACTTATGCAGAAACCAAGAAAAATGACTCCTGGCAAAAAGAAAATAAGCTTCTGTAAGCCAGCCTTTCCAGACAAGGAAGGGAGAGGAGCCGTCACCAGCTTTCCTTTTATAAGTCATCCCAGATGCCCAGAGCAGCCGCTGGTGAAGGTCATGCTTGCGCTCACAGATGTGGCATGGAGAGAATTAGCAGGGAACCCCAGAGGTTCTAAATGGGCAAAGGGAGGCATTCTCTGAAATGTGCAGGTCCCTGGGCGCAAAGAGCTTCACCTCTCGGCCTTCCGAGTCCGCTGCCCAGCCGGTAAATAGGCAACGTCAGGGTCTCCAATCTCCACCACCATCCCTGGGCACCATTGGTTCTTGGTGTTTGAACCAGACTTGGACGAGGCAGCTCTTCCACCATCTAAACAAAGATTGCCCTTTGGCAGCTGTTCAAACAGAAGCCTGTCTCCTCCAACCCTGCAAAAGGGGACAACACGCGGCCAAATCCAGTGTTTAGGCAGAAGCTGAGATGATGACTGTTCAAGGGTAGCCACTGTGTGTGACATGTTTGCAAAGCTGTTTGGAAAAGGTGAGAAGTGATTTGTCCTACATTGTCTAGATGACCCCCATACCCCCTTTTGGCTTGGTTCCCTCCGTTGCCTCTCTATGGCCAAGGTATACATTTGAGAATGTGGCCTGTTTCTTCCCTAAGTAATGAATTTGGCGGGCGCTCCCCTATTTATCAACCACAACACTTGATTGTCTCCAGGCATGGTTCTCAGCTGCCCTCCTTTTCCCTAGGGCTGATAAAGCTTTGTTTAGGAGACCGGAGCCCCTTGTTTGCATGATCCTTTACCAGGCCTTGACAGAAAGCTCTTGTTTATGACGCCCGGGGAATTTGCTGGTGGGCACTTTGGAAGAATAACGTGGCACCTCAGGGCTCGAGGGGTTCATAAAGCATTCTGCAGACCAAAGCTGCCCGTCTGCTCGGAGCAAAGGGCAGCGCAACGCGTTACGAAGGCACCCTCGAGGTTGCTGCTTTAATGCAGGGAGTTCAGCAGGCTGAGGGCGTTGCTGCACTTAAGAGATTACTTCTGCCCTATTAACATAAACTGTTGCTGCCGCGGTCTGATTTGCTGGAGACCAAGACTGCGGGGAGACAGAAGGGAAGGTGTGTGCCCGTGGATAAAGACCCTTCTGGAAACCAGGATCTGCTCTACAACAGGGCCGATAAAAGCCTATTTTTGTCGCAACCCCCCCCCACCGCCGCCCGCCCAAAAACCAAGCAGAGCCAAAGCAGGCAAGGCAACTGCAACAAAAGACACTCCCAGCTTGCTCTGCTTCTGTCTGACTCACGCTCCTTTTGCAATAATAGCCTAGATCTCTTGGCCCAGGCAGGAAAAGAACGGGTGTTATTATACTCAACCTACGTCACACACTCTAGCAGCTGCTGGTCTGGGATAGTATTTGGTGCCGAGCTGTGTGGCTCGCACTATTGTGGAGGAGGAAGAGGAGAAGGGTCACAAACCATCCAGAGTGGACAAGCTCCCATACTGTGCAAATTTAGGGAATCTCTCTCTCCCTCTCTCTCTCTCTCTCCAAATAACAAAATTACAAACAGAAAAAATAACCAGTGACAAAACACTGAGCTGTTTAGAAAGGAAGGAAGGATAGTGGCAACATCGTAGCCATCACCTCTTTGACCAAAGATAAACCTGGGCAAAGGAGCAAGGGCTTAGCCTGATACCTACAGCTCTTCAGGCCAAGAGTCAGGAAAGCCGCTCTGAAGGACTCTTCTGCAGGTGGGGCAGCGCTACGAAACAAGACCCGCTCCTGCTTGTTGTTCGCTTGATCTCATGTGTTCATCCAGCACTGGTTGCCGACTGACTTTATGTGAAGGCCCTGGCCCTGGTTATCTTCAGAGAAGGCTGGGCAACCTCCATGCCTGCAAACATGGGGAACCACTGCCACTCATATGGTGGTCAATGTTAATGAACTAGCCAACTGAATTTGTGTAAGATGGTTTCCAGGATCCTTTTCACAGATATTTGTCTGCTGTTAACTACTCTTCTTATTTAGGAGTCCCCGATAAGCTTCCGAGAAAAACCCCAAGACTCTCTAGAACACAGTTCAAATGGCTGGGGTACAATGCTTGGATAGCAGGTAGTCATGCATTATCAGACAACCTCTGTCCACATCTCTAGTCAAGCCGCAAAGCACCTTAGATCTTTTCTAGCCCCAAATCACGTTTTCTGCTGGGATTGTTTCTGCATTCAAAATGACCCCCTGTAGCCAAAGTCTCTTGCTGTGATGAGGCATGGGAAAGGACAGCAGATGTTACGACACAGACGACAAGTAAGGACTATGCTTTCTGTCTCGGATTTTGACTACAGGATTCTGATTGTGGCCATCTAAAAAAAAGTGAGTCTTCCAGGCTCTGAGCAGGTGGTAGAATGACTGGTCCCTCTCTAAGTGGTGGGTGCCATTTTTCAATGCTTCCCTGGATTGTTTTTTTTTTTTAAACCTTCCCTGTAAGTAGAAGAAAACTAGCGTAACACAGAAAGGAGTACAAGACTCCAGATACTTCATCAGGCTAGTGTGCCTTTTCTTTTTCTTTCTTGTTTTTACTTGTACAAATATTTTATGTAAAACAAAGTTTTAAAAATTGCTTCTTGTACAGACCTTTGCAAGCAAAGCAAGCGCCTTGCCCCAGGAATGACAGCCCTCCCTTTAGAGCAGATCAGGGCTGGGATCATATCTGTGAACAGCTTTGAAAACTCTAAAGTGCTGCATTCAGACCAAGCATACTAATTGTAGAAAACAGAGAATATGCATGATTCCTTCCACCAATTCTCATAACCACAGTTGTCTTTTCTGCCCTTCTCAAGTTCAGGACAGAAGGGGGATTTGAAGCATGGCTAGCTCTCAAGACTTAAAGAATGGAATAGTGGAATAGCCATCAAACAATCATCCATGTTGTGATGCTTCTTGCATCTTCTTGTGGTACGAGGGGGGGGAATGAGAGAGAGAGAGAGAGAAAACTCAACTCTCTTTAGGCTAAAACTCACCACAACGCAGGACCCCAAACTCAGCTCTGTCTCAACTCTCTTTAGGCTAAAACTCAACACAACGCAGGACCCCAAACTCAGCTCTGTGATATGTCAAAGTGGAGGCTGTGTTTTCCCCAGGTGAATTCATACTGTCAGCTTAAGCCCGGGGAAGCACATGATAGGCTTATATCACCTTCTAGCTTGCTTCCCACTGTTAGATAATTGGCTAAGGTGGTGAGAGGAGGAATCATTTCCGACAGATGGTCCATGGTAGCAGTTTCATGTCTGCAAGAAATTCAGGG